GGATTCCGGATGGACTGGACGTTTCGTCATGTACTATATAATCGGACATGCATAGATCAAACGTAGGTCCGTATAGAGAAAAATGTGAAATGTTAGTAAAGTTGTCGTAACACATCCTGTGGCTTATGTGAGCCTGGTACTCGGAGGGACAGACCTCTCATCTGTTGAGCCACCGGATTCCGGTTGCAGGTAGTCCCAATTTTGAACTTTTAACAGCTATTTATAAAATTACGGTTTATTCTTTCTAACACATTTAAAACTGTACCCAATGAATGGACCTTCTCTCTCACACAATATTTTCGACAAAATAACTGAAGGCGGCTGTGTGAACCAGTGTAAAATTCGAGCTCTGACTGGTCGCACATATTTGTGAATTTAATAGATACTAGTGGTCATGCAGTAGTCGAAATTCGATAATAATTAATTGAAATTATAAGTTTAAACGCTATTAAGGTTTATCAAAGACTATTAAACTTCTATAATATTTTCTTTATATTTTGGCTCCGGCACGGTTTGTACATTAGCCAGCGTCAAATAATAAGATTTTTATAATTCGCCGTTTTAATTATTTACAGTTTTGAATTAAAAAAACGAAGCAAACCTAAATTAATCAACTGAGATGACATGAAATGAAATAAGATGAGATGATGGGAAAATAAAACAAAGCCGCTGGACGTAACTCTGGATTGGAGAAAAAAGAATAAAAAGCATTTTACTGAGATTATATTATTATCTCTTCCCATATCATCTCACCTCATTACACTTAATTCGATGCCAATTGATTAATGTTTCAAATTAATCAACTTCATTTCGTTTCATTTCATATTACCAATAGTAATATTTTTTTTAATATCAAATATTAGACTGTTTGGTATAATATGTTTGCCTTTTCAGTTGAAAAAATAGAACTACTACTACTCATAATGTTTGACAACAAAAAAGTATGCATGTGTGTGTCAAATAAATGTTACGGCAGATTGCCATTAAAAAAAATATGTTTTTTTTATTGATTTAATGTACCTTTTATGCATTATTTAAAAAAATATTAGCATTGTGCACTTCTTCTCTATACATATTCTCTATAAGTGTGGAAAGGAAAATGCCCATTCTCCATAGTGTGCTGGGCCCAAGATGGACATCAAATATTACTATAAAAATGGACTGATTCAAATTCTTAAATGTATTGGATATCTAAAAAATATATTGAAATTGACGCCACTATTATAAAAAATATAATAAAAATAAAAATTCGTTTGGAGGTTAATTTTCTATATAAATAAGTGTCGGATTGTGAGATACTTCAAGAACTTTTCTTTTCTTAATGTTTAAGATGTTCCTAATGTATTTTTATCCAATAATAATTTTAGTTATTAGGGTATAAAAAACCACACATATTTTTTTAAATATCTATATGTTTTTCATCTTCATAGACAATTACTAAATCATCTAAAAAATAGCACAGGAGAGCATATACACGGTTTTAAATCTCGGTCAGGTTAAAACCACAATTCACACAATGTTTTTCAGTCGTAGTATGAAACGTTATTGATAAAAGTAAAATAAATCGAAGAAAAATCAAAACACATCCATTTTGAACGCAAGCACAAGCAGCAAGCGAAGTCACAAGTGTCAGTCGTCAGATTAAATTCAGTGTTGTCAGTATAAAGAAAAATAATTACATGAAATTCATATATCGATTTTTTTTTAAATAACCGATAATTGATTTATTTCTTAATCTTTTTTTTACGAGTACACATTAGTATTTTGTATTTTTATGTTTTTGTTTTAGTTGTACATATTTAAATAACAATACTAGTAAAGTTTTTTTTTATTGCTTAGATGGGTGGACGAGCTCACAGCCACCCTGGTGTTAAGTGGTTACTGGAGTCCATAGACATCCACAACGTAAATGCGCCACTCACCTTGAGATATAAGTTCTGAGGTCTCTGTATAGTTACAATGGCTGCCCCACCCTTCAAACCGAAAGGCATTACTTCTTCACGGCAGAAATAGGCAAGGCGGTGGTACCCACCCGCGCGGACTCACAAGAGGTCCTACCACCAGTAATTACGCAAATTATAATTTTGCGGGTTTGATTTTTATTACACGATGTTATTCCTTCACCGTGGAAGTCAATCGTGAGCATTTGTTGAGTACGTATTTCATTAGAAAAAATTGGTACTCGCCTGAGATTCGAACACCGGTGCATCGCTCAACACGAGTGCACCGGACGTCTTATCCGTTAGGCCACGACGACTTCTAAAATATAATATAGATAGATAGATAATATAGATAGATAAACAATATTTATTTTAATGTAATTTTATTAGAGACTAATGGTGGGTGTATTGTGATACCGCGCGGGTAGGTACCACATGTTCGAGTTTTAGCAAGACTAACGAACAGCAATTCAGTTTTATACATATAATGTATTTATTTATTTATATCAAAATACAGTTTCACTTTGTAAAACTATAGCAATTGAGTTGCTCTTATAAAGAGAAACAACATTTAAAGCTATTGCTTCACCATTATTTTTATATCTTTTTATATTTTAATATTGCAAAAATGCTCTTTATATGTCTAATGTTCTAATGTTTCAATAATCGAAATTCTATTTATGTCATCTATAGAAATATATATATATATATATATATCTATATTTCACAAACTTTTTTAATATTATCCAATAAATTTTTTGCTTGATAAAAGGGTTTAATCTTATTTTCCATTTGTCGTCTTCCTATGTGACAGTAGTAGTGATGTACATGTGTTATAATTTTTTTACTAAACTCCTCAGTTAGTACAATCTTTTCATTTTTTCCTATCTTTCTATAATATATGTTATGTTTTAAAATATGTTTATTTATANTATAAAGAGAAACAACATTTAAAGCTATTGCTTCACCATTATTTTTATATCTTTTTATATTTTAATATTGCAAAAATGCTCTTTATATGTCTAATGTTCTAATGTTTCAATAATCGAAATTCTATTTATGTCATCTATAGAAGAATGATATAAATAACATATTAACCTCTTTAAGGATTAATCGTATAGAGGTTACATACATATAGATAGATATATTTATTACAGTATTTTGCCCGCATTCTGTGAGTTGTAGATATAGTAACTTTTAAGAAAATGATACTATTTCGATTTTATTATTTCGGATTTTTCGAATGTTTTACGGTTTTCGTGAAAATGGCTGACATCCGCTCGCGATCACGCTACTTACAATAGATAAACCGGCAAAATAGTTTTAATTATAGATATGTTTTTGTTCGATACTGTAATTTTCGGTGTGGTATACTACAACAGTAGTCTGAAGGTCGATTTTGTACTGTTAACATAATTAATTTTTAGAACCAATTGGACAATTTCAAATAATTCTGTGCTCTGAGGAATTGTTCGAGATAATACCATCGTCTCTTTTTTACTATCGCACCGCCCACCACCGGAGTAGAGTTCATCCGTACTACCTGGAGCCGTTGTGGTCATCGACGGTGCGGTCTTTTTTGCCACGTACCATCCGGCTATGGAATGAGCTCCCCTCCACGGTATTTCCCGAGCGCTATGACATGTCCTTCTTCAAACGAAGCATGTGGAGAGTATTCAGCAGTAGGCAGCGGCTTGGCTCTGCCCCTGGCATTGCTGAAGTCCATGGGCGACGGTAACCACTCACCACCAGGTGGGCCGTATGCTCGTCTGCCTACAAAGGAAATAAAAAAAATAAAGCATGAAATGTTTCTAAAAGGTATTTTGATCATTATTAAATTCCGAATGATTGGCGGCAATTATACCCCGTATCATTGGAGCGATCAAAATTACGGCTAATGCAGACACGATACATAGTTGACATGTCGTGTGAAAACAAAGGTCATTCACTTTTTGATGACCCGCCTCTACACGGAAGGGTATTTCCAATTTTTCACAACATTTCCTTTGTACTACTTTTGTAATTCAATAATTCACCTCAATGATTATTTGATCACCAATAAACGGGGTTTTCAGGAGCTCAATAATAAGCTTAGGTCTTTTATATTTACTTTACTTAAATAAACTATAGTTTTTATTCTAAAAGTCGCATAAAACTTTTTGGTTTGGCTCTGGGATCACTTGCGTCCAAATTAAATAATACAGTAAGTAATACTTATGTAAGTTATATTATCAACAGTGCAACGACTTTCAAAACATACTCAGGAAGTGCTTTGTAGAAAAATACCCTCGCTATGACAGTAGACAGCAATGCGAGGAGGAGGGTCCTAAAAGACTTGGACGGACTGTGTGACAAGAGAAGGGTATATAGAGATAACGTATGATAGGCCTGAACGGAAAAAGAGGATTTGCAGCTCCGATCCTATAAATTGGGACGAAGCCCAAAAGATGAAAACTTAGAAATGCTTTATACCATGTCAATTACTTAAAAACTAGATTTTATGCATTTGACTATTATATATCCATTTGTCTAAGGTATATTGACTGGAGACTAATTGTATATCGGACTAGAATTCTGTTTGTACTATTCAAAAGAAAAGTAATTATTTGTTTGCGGCAGCTGATTACAGACAGTTCCGCTTCGGGGGGAAGCTAAAATAAATCGTTGCAAATTTTTGGGAGGTGGCTTTAAGAACCTTGTTTTAGTTCACGACCTTTTCTATATGAAAAATATCTGTTAGAATCTTTTCTTCAGTAATCAGTTCAAGGTTGAATTTTTTCTTGTGCGATGTAGTAGCATAATTTTTTTTTTTTAAACTGATTTGGTCAGGAAATTTTAATAATAGTTTTCGTGCGGTGAATTTGTTTTTACACGACTATCCAAAGAAGGAGACAGCGTCTGTGTATAATACTACATTTTTTAAATCTCTAAACAGATTTACATGTATCATTGTATCGTTGTATCATTCCATTGACAATTTTTTTATGTATTATCTATGTATGCTTTTAGTTGGTCGCACCTTAACCAATAAAATAATAACCGACATTTTCTTTGTTTCAGAGCGCTTCTTGAATGTCACCGATTTTCGCAAAGGTACGTGTATCTATATCTATATCTATACTTTATAATATTATAACGAGGAAAGATTTGTTTGTTTGTTTGTTTCGAATAGGCACCGAAACTACTGGACAGATTTGAAAAATTCTTTTTCCATTAGAAGCCGACATTGTCCCTGATGAACATAGACTACTTTTTTATTATTTTTTTTATATATTTTTTTGGTTTCATGTGTTTTTTAATGTTTCCGAAGCGAAGCGAGGGCGGGTCGCTAGTAATAAATAAATTAATATCATTTTTTAAAAAAAGGGGCTATAAATTTACTTATATACCCGAGATATATAATGTAGGAAACATCCGTGGTTTTGCAGGCGAGACGCCTAGTGTTAGACTCCTAGTGTTCGAGCTAAAGGCGCTTAATGCAAGAGTTATTGGATCTGATGGACCCTTAAGAACGTGGGTCGTAACGTGTTTTTTCTCGGGAGTTACACAAGTAAATCCCCTGTTCATTGTGCGTGTGAAGGCGGGAGTGTGCACGCTTCGTGACGGTCGCTGAGGAATGGTCGGAGAAAGCGTAAAGCTGTCCGCTGGACCGCGACTCACGCTCCGCGCTCATCACCGTTTAGGGCTGTCACTTCACAGAAAAAAAGTATAAGTCGCTTCACATTAAAAAGCAGGTACCACCACTCCAATGAAATACGTTCTTAATAAATTCTCACGATTGACTTCCACAGTGAAGGAATAACATCGTGTAATAAAAATCAGCCAGACTGTCCACTATATGCCTTCGTAGGGTGCTGGAATTCTTCGGACATATTGCTCGTAAAGAGGGTCACAATCTTGAACAGCTGATGGTGACAGGAAAGGTAGATGGCAAACGTCCCAGAGGACGCAGTCCCACGAGATGGTCGGACCAAGTACGATCTTCTCTGAGCATCAATTTCCATAATGCCCTTCATGAAGCAAAGGATCNCAGGAAAGGTAGATGGCAAACGTCCCAGAGGACGCAGTCCCACGAGATGGTCGGACCAAGTACGATCTTCTCTGAGCATCAATTTCCATAATGCCCTTCATGAAGCAAAGGATCGCGGCAGATGGAGGGAAGTCGTATGGGAGAAACTGATGCAGCGGGGGAGTCTCGACCCTCAGTAATGAGGAAAACGACGCGAGGAATAAAAATCAAAGACGCAAAATTATAGTTTGCGTAATTACTGGTGCTAGAGCGTCTCTTGGGAGTCCGTACCGGTAGGTACCACCACCTTGCCTATTTCTGCCGTGAAGTAGTAATGCGTTTCGGTTTGAAGGGCGGGGCAGCCGTTGTAACTATACTGAGACTTTAGAACTTATATCTCAAGGTGGGTGGCGCATTTACGTTGTAGATGTCTATGGGCTCCAGTAACCACTTAACACTAGGTGGACTGTGAGCTCGTCCACCCATCTAAGCAATAAAAAAACTCCTAATCACGATTATTCAGTACTGATATTGTATATCGCGTTATGTTTATATTTGTAATTATAGTTGCAGAAGCATTTCTTTCACATCATATCTCATGACGGCGTCAACGTTGTCGTGTCTATAAATTCCATAATCATTTAAATTTAAAACCAGTTGGGTCGTGAACTCGATCATGCATGTTTGCTATTGCAAATTAAATCTTAATAAAAGGAATTTGTTCTGTTTATGTAAGTTAGTAGTATATTATTTACAATTTGGTTCCGAGACCGGCTTCTTAGATCCTCAAATATAAAGAAAGGCAATAAAGAAAGATAATAAGTTATTTCAATGAACTTAATTGCGTGCTATTCACAGATAGCTTTGATATGATATAATGCAACAGTTATTAAAAGATAATTACTCTAATGAATGCTAGTATTATTAGTTTAATAAAAAGATAATCTATTAATTGTTATTATTTGTACGGTAAATACTGCTTCTATTGTTGTCATTCGGTTAAACACAATAACATTTAAGCTTTCGTCTGTGCTTTAAGCTTTGAACATTTTGATAGATCCAATCTGTTTTTTTTTTATTGCCTAGATGTGTGGACGAGCTCACAGCCCGCCTGGTGTTAAGTGGTTACTGGAGCCCATAGACATCCACAACGTAAATGCGCCACCCACCTTGAGATACAAGTTCTAAGGTCTCAGTATAGTTATAACAGCTGCCCCACCCTTCAAACCGAAACGCATTACTGCTTCACGGCAGAAATAGGCGGGGCGGTGGTACCTACCCGTGCGGACTTGCAAGAGGTCCTACCACCAGTAATTACGCAAATTATAATTTTGCGGTTTTGATTTTTATTACACGATGTTATTCCTTCACCGTGGAAGTCAATCGTGAACAATTGCTAAGTACGTATTTCATTAGAAAAATTGGTACACGCCTGCGGGATTCGAACACCGTTGCATCGCTACATACGAATGCACCGGACGGACGTCTTATCCTTTAGGCCACGACGACTTCAAATACTGTTAATAATAGTAGATACACCGCAAAATGCCTTCTCTATCTCTTTAACAATTTCTCTAGATACAACGGTTATTTGACTGACTGATTGTAGAACCGCCTATAGCAAAATGTAGATTGTAGTTTTTTTTGTTTACAAATCTAATATAACGTATTTATGGGTTAACATAATATATATCGTTCATGCGTTACGATTTGTTTTGTATTAGATTTTAGGACACCCGACAACTATTATTGTAGTTTTATTTACTGGTGGCAGGACGTCTTGTGAGTCCGCACGGGTAGGTACCATCACCCTGCCTATTTTTCCGTGAAGCAGTAATGCGTTTCGGTTTGAAGGGTGGAGCAGCCCTTGTAACTATACTGAGATCTTAGAACTTATATCTCAAGGTGGGTGGCGCATTTACGTTTTAAATGTCTATGGGCTCTAATAATCACTTAACATCAGGTGGGCTGTGGGATCGTCTACCCATCCATCTAAGCAATAAAAAAAGAGTTAATGTCAATACTCGTACATGCCTGCGTTAAATATATTTTCTGCGAAGCGCCACCCCTAATAAGCTGTGATACTTCATTGTGAGTAGCGATCATTATTTTTCTGGTTTTAGCATCATAGCACAATAGCTACTGAAGTTTGAATAATTTGACATTTTATTGCGGCAAGCGTGTGTGCGTTGCATGTTATGTGTTTTTACATGAACCCGTTTGTTTGTGTGATTGTGTTTCTACTTGTGACGGATAAATGAGTCGTCTATTATCAAAGGTGGCAATCTGTGCATTTGGACAAAAAAAAATTATTGATATTTCAATACAGATTGATTTGAATATAATCGTCTCCTTCAAAGAATACGGTTCAAAACCTGCATTAAATAAAGGTTAATACTTAACCTGTTATTTATCTAAGATGTCGTTCAGAAGAGTTTTGTGACTGCCAATGGAATACAAAGTNTAATCGTCTCCTTCAAAGAATACGGTTCAAAACCTGCATTAAATAAAGGTTAATACTTAACCTGTTATTTATCTAAGATGTCGTTCAGAAGAGTTTTGTGACTGCCAATGGAATACAAAGTCAATAATTCGTTTTTCTGATTTACCAATAATTATCCAAAAGTCACATTGCCGGCTTTGATAATAGTCGACTCAAATGTCGCGGTATATTTGAGGTCGTCAGCGCAAAAGTTGCTTAAGCTTACCATAGTTATTATGGAGCAATGAGGTTTAAGTTTTCATGAATTTGAATTTGAGTAGTTAAAAAAAGAAATACGCGCAAAAATAATGTTAACAAAGCCATCTGTTATCTATGAGTGAAACTACGGATAGGCCAGTTTTGCATTAAACTTTATTATCTATATATATACCTTATTTTTATTTATCTATATATATAAAAATAAATTGCTGTTCGTTAGTCTCGATAAAACTCGAGAACGTCTGAACCGATTTGGCTAATTTTGGTCTTGAATTATTTGTGGAAGTCCAGAGAAGGTTTAAAAGGTTAGATAATTATGAAAATGCTCGGAATTTAATAAAAATAACAATTTTGTTTTTCCTTTGAAGTGTCTACCGTCGGACGGATTCCTTTTGTTTGTTTTAAGTTCATTTTATACAAAAGTTTAGGTCTTTTATTTATCGATTGAGGCACTACGAAGTCTGCCGGGTCAGCTAGTATTTTATATAAATTGCAATATGCATATATAAGCACGATTATGAAAAAATGTGGGTTAGGCCACTTTTGCGCTGACGGCCTCATTTCAAATGAGAGGTCTGTATATTATCAGAGGGCAGGGTCGCGGAGTTGACTCAAAGTGCACGGACGTCCGACCTTCCATTCGCTTTATTCGTATGTTCTATATATATATCGACGCTTGAAAGGCAAAAGTGACTAAGCGACAATAACTGCTTTGTACATAAATGATAATAAATAACCATATTCGATGCGCAAAAAATTTATATTTCCAGGTCTATTAAAATCATTTCAATCCTACAGCTACTAGCTAGATTCTACTACAGCTAGATTCGTTAAAATAATTTTTGTTTTCTGGTATTTCAACTTTAAATTAGTCTACTGTAAAGTTCACGCATTGTCGCTTAGTCACGTTTGCCTTTCAAGCGTCGATATACATAGCTGTATACATTTAACGTTATGTTACGTTTTACTGGTGGTAGAACGATTGTGAGTCCGCACGGGTAGGTACCACCACCCTGTCTATATCTGCCGTGAAGCAGCAATGCGTTTCGGCTTGAAGGGTGGGGCGGCCGTTGTAGCTATGCTGAGACTTTAGAACTCATATCTTGGGGTGGGTGGCGCATTTGCGTTGTAAATGTCTATGGACTCCGGTAACCACTTAACACCAGATGGGCTGTGAGCTCGTCCAAACATCTAAACTAAAAAAAACGTTCGTCTAGAGAGCTCGGTATTTATCTATATATTAATACGTGAAGCAAAAACTTTGTACCCCTTTTTACAAAAATTGCGCGGACAGAGGAGTATGAAATTTCCCATCTTATAGAGAATATAGAGAAGGAGTCCAGAATGTTAATATTTTTTTAATATTGTGCATAAAAATACATT